CTGTGACAGGCTTATTTCATTTAGCATTATGTCCTCAAGGTACATCCATGTTGTCAAATAGCACAGGATTTCCATTTCTTTTTAAAAGCCCAAATCAATACTCCACTGTATACTGCACAATAATATCCCAATGTGATTACTACATGTTCTTTATCCATTTACCTACTGATAGACATTTAGGTCATTTCTGCATATTGCTATTAGCTCTCTAGAGTCCTGATGTCAGTTCTTTAGGGTAAATACCTGGAAGTGCAACTGCTGATCATAAGGTGGTTCCTTCTACTGTCATTTGTAGAGGATCTTCCATGCCATTTCCCATAGGGGCCGCACCATTTTGCATTCCCACAGTGTTCCAATTTCTCCTTGCTTATGATGTTTATCACTTTCTGCTTTGGATTATGGGTATCACTGGGCACAATGACCTCCCCCAGGAGGTGTGGAATTTCTTGATGAAGAAGTCACATCTACTGCTCCCCTTTCTCCTACAGTAGCACCTTCAGCCATGTGTATGGTAAATGATTAGTATGCGCTGGTTGTGCCCAGTGCATGGGTCCAAGGATATTCCTTCTGGAATGGTCCGTAGACGTATGTAACTTATCACCAACCCACAGCAGAGATTCCTGCTATTGGAGAGACTGGAGGACTGAGCTTACAGACAAGGATCTGAATGAAAGTCACATCTCCTTTGATAAAGCAGAGAAGGCGCCTCAGTTTCCCTGTTAACGGAAAACAAAGTATGGTCAGAGTTAATTTCTACTGCTTTTAAGATATATTGCTTTTCTCACCCTGAGACAGAGGCCCAGAGATGACTCAGAATGTAGGTAGTCAGCTTGAATACCATATTTGGCTGAAGTGTGACACAACAGAACAGTCTACCTTCAAAGGATAGGAAAAATATTGTCTGTGCAGGACTGGGCTCTTTTATAATGTCTGTCATAAATATGTGCAATTATTATGTGTCAATTAAAAGAGAAAAATAAAAGGTGTGTGAAGGCCCTCACCCGGCCAGAGCAGACACCAGGCGGATGACTCATCCTGGGTCGGTCCTGAGCCTGCACCAATGACTGAACCTGAGTCTAGACACCTAATCCTTCCTCCCGAGGCCTTCTCCGCACTCCCTCAAACCCTCCCACCCAGCAACTCGGCCCAGCACTTATCCAAAATTCAGGTTAAAAACCACCGCCACCCCACGAGTCAAGTGAACAAAACCAATTTTGTTTTGAACGTTCCACAAGCTCCCTGAACTCTCTGGAAGCATCCTACATGTCTCAGAATGAAAAGGAAATACCAAAGAGCCACAGAGCCTGGGGAAGTGAAGCATCCCGTGGAAAGATGGAGGAAACCGTCTGTCTCCCTCTAGGAGGAACTAGAGGAGGGCTAGCAGCCTGTCAAGGCCAGAACTGGGAACCGAGGGACTGTGTACAGAAATCCCAATCTGCAGATCCAAGCAAAGGAAAGACTGTTCCCAGGAGCCACTGGGCCCCTCTGTACTAACTTTTTAAACCCTGGGAGCCAAGTGTGGTTATTGAAACGGAAGGAAACTCAACTGGGATCCTTTCTGTTGGCTTCTGTGTGGCTGGGAAGTCATGAGGTAACATCACAGAGGGGACCCACAAATGTCAGAGCAGTTCCCACAATGCCATAGACTGAACACTGAGTGTCCTCAAAGGCTCCCAGGTGTTGAGGCTTGGTTCCTAGAGTGGCACTAATGGGAGGTGGTGGGGCCTTTGGAAAGTGGGGCTACTGAAAGGTCTCTGGGTCATGACCTTGAGGAGTATGTGGGACCCTAGTCCCCCATTCTCTCTTTTGTTTCCTGGCCATGAGGTGAGGAGTTTTGCTCTATCACATGCTCCCACCATGATATACTACCTTACCACAGGTCCAAAAGTAATAGGGCCAACAGATCACGGATTAGAACCTCCCAAACTCTAAGTTTATTTTGACTTTTCTTTTTATAAGTTGATTATCTCAGGTATTTTGTTATAATGATGGAAAACTGACCAACATATTTAATAAGCAAATGTCAACAATGTATGAATGTGTTCTCAGAAGTAGAAATCACTATGCAGGGATGAAGCAGCATTTAATCTTAATGTTGAGTAGTTGGGGTGCTAAACCATTCTCGAGAAGCTGGAAATCCATGCTAACTTGGGACAACTGAAGAGTAGTACTCCCTAGTTCTCATCTTGGTGTTTGATGTTGATGCGGCCAATCTCCCAAAATAATTAAGGCATTTGACAGGACTATCCATGCACATCAGGAAGGTGAAAGGAGTTAAAGTTCTGCCCAGACACCTGTCCCTCTGAGATCTTTCCCTCTGAGATCTTTCCCTCTAAAACCCATAACTCCAGTTTAATAACAAGAAGGACATCAAGCCAGGCATGGTGGTGCACATCTATAATCCCAGAGGCTCAGGAGACTGAGGCAGCAAGATCACAAGTTTAAAGCCACCTTCAGTAACTTAGTGAGACCTGTCTCAAAATAAAATACAAAAAAGGGCTGGGGATGTGGCTCAGTGGTTAAGAGCCCCTGGGTTCAATCCCTGATACAAAACAAACAAACAAAAAAAGGACAATAACAGATCCTAATTGAGGGATATTCTACAAAATGCCTGATTATTACTCCTCAAAACTGTCAAGGTTCTCAAAAACTAGCAAGTCTGAGAAACATTAGAGCCAAGAGGATCCAAGGAGACCTGACCACTAATGTAATGTGCATCTCAGACGGGAACCAAAAACAGAGACAGGACATTAGGGGAAAACTGAGGTGATCAGAATAAAGTATGAAGAAGCTGGCTTCAGGGTAAATAGGAACCCTCTGTACTATTTTCACAATTTCTCTGTGCATCTAAAATTCCTGTAAAATAAAAAGTTTATTTTAGAAAATACTGCTCAGAGAGGTAACTTCCAGAAAGAGGTCTGATACCCTCCTACGCAGGTAGTAAGATGGTGATTAACCATAACCAGAAGCTGAAGAAGGATCCACCTGGTTCCCCCCCCACCCCCCGCCCTGGGAGCATTGTGCCAAGTGGACAGGTGAGCAGGAAGTTTGCTCTGTGAGAACAAGCTCATGGCCACACACAGCCACTCTAGAAAGGTCACCTTGGCATGGTATTTACCCTTCCCTAGGTCCGCATATCTGATCTTACTAAGCCAGTGTGGACAAGAAGCTCAGCTCTCCACGACCTGAAGTCTTATCTGGTGTCCTTCTTTCCCATGCTTACCTGCCTCAGCTGGCCTGCTGCATACCAGCCCCCAAGGGACCTCTGATCTCTGAGGTCCACTCAACCAGGCATGCGGCTGGACCAGCCCTCCAGTCTCTCACTGTTCGGCCACACGTATCTCCTGCTCCGGGGAGCTCTCAGGCTTGCAATTCCCACAGAGCAGGGCATCAGCACTAACTAGAGAGAACTCGAGAACTTGAGGCAAGGTATGTCAGGTGGGGAGTGGAAATATCAGTGTGAACAGTAATGCTGACACCAGTAAGACCGGCTGAGTATCCCTAGTCCAAAACTCCAAGATGCTCCATAATCCGTAATTTTTTGAGTGCTAACATGCTGTCACAAGTAGAAAGTTCCAGGCTGGCCAGGGTGGCACATGCCTGTAATCCCAGCTCCTAAGAGGCTAAGGCAGGAGGACTGTAATTTTGAAAGACTCCTGATCACATGTGACAAAGTCAGCATGCAGGGGCTTTAAAAATATGTATAAGATGTCCCTTTAGCTCTATGTATAAGGTGTATATGAAACCTAAATGAATGTTGTTTCCAGATTTAGGTTCCATTCCCAAGATTTCTCATTATGTATATGCAAATATTCCAAAACCCCCAAGAAATCTGAAATCCAAAACTTTTCTGGTCCTCAGCATCTTGGATGAGAGATGCTCAACCTGTAGTAACAACAGCTACTCCTCTTGACCGAGACTGATACCCTGAACTCCTAATGTTGTAGCTTTTATCATGATAGGTCAAGACCTAACAGAAATCACTGTCAAGAGAGGGAACTGAATGCAGGGGATACAGGATCATGTTATGGTCTGAACATGAGGTGTCCCCTACAAGCTCCTGTGTTAATGCAGGATTATTCCAAGGCCCAATGATTCAATTATGAGAGCTGTAACCTAATTAGTCCCTCCTTGTTTGAACAGTCTAACTGGGTTGTAACTGCAGGCAGGTGAGGTGTGGCTGGAGGCAGTGGGTGCCCTAGAAGGGGACATTTTCCCTGAGCCCCCTTCCCCTGGCTCTCTTTACTTCCTGGATATCATGAATGGGGCCGTGCTCCTTCACCTCGCCCTTCCGCCATGATGTTCTGTCTCCTTTAAGTTGTTCTTGTCAGGTATTTTTCTCACACCACTGTAAAGCTGACTAACACAGGAGGTGAGAATTCCACGGAGATGGATGGAATAGCCCAGAGATTTAGTTAACAACAGAAAGCTTCCATCAGCCTAGATCAAGGACCCAGGGAAGACTTCAGTGTGACTGGAGCCCAGAAGCCCAGAGAGGAGGCACAGCATCCCAGGGAGGGTGACATCCTGGTTTCCCCTTCCTCCCACCTACCAATCTTCCTCTAATGCTTGCCATTCATCACACCCAGCCAGAAGCTGCCTGCTGTATGAGCTGGAGGAACAGGGGTGGGTTGGGGTCCATACCATCTGTCCCCAACGCATCCCTGCTGTGGGCAGGCACACATGTTCCAGAGAAATCGCTCATTAGTCACTTGTTTGCCGCACAGCACTGTGAGGGGCTGTCTCTTTTGTTGTCTCTGCCTCCAGCTCCTAGCACACTGCCTGATGTATGGCTCATATTCAAATATATGTTAAAAGCTCAGTAAAGTTCTTAACCCCTGTTTTTCAGATGAGAAAACTGAGATTCAGGGAAGCTAAGGACATGGCCCAAGCTCACAGGGCTATGGGGTGCAGCGAGCCCAGCTCTTTCCTGCAGGCCATGATTTGTGTGGGGGCTCCTACCCATGGGAGAGCAGGTGAAGTAGTGGAGGGGGGCCCTTCCTCAACAGGCAGGAGAGCCTATGGCTGGCAAAGCCTGGGGAGCCACAGCGTCGGAGAAGCCACATGCACAGGTATGAACAGGCACCCTGAGCCCTGGAGCTCTGAGTGCTAGAGGCCACGTACAAACACAGCAGTGGACTGGAGCTCCTGGAGTGTGTATGGGGGCCAGGGGGGCAGGAGGGGTGGGATTCACCCTCTTCTGGCCCCTGGAATCAGGCTACTCCCCTCTCAGGTCTCTCTCCCTCCCAAAGATGGTGGAAGTGGTTATAAAGATGGCTCAATATGATAAATAGAACCATATTATCATTGTTTTCCATATAATTTACTTAAAAAAAATATGTCCCAAACCACAGTGGGCTGGAAGCCAGGCAAACCTTCTGCCCACGGCCTGAGATTAGTATTCTTGTTGTGTCGCTTCGCAGCGCAACTGAAAGTTATCAGCAGGCAGACAGCCAGCATTCAGCCCCAACCGCTGCGGCCCGCAGACATTAGAGGAAGATTTAGAGACCCTCGTAGTCACCACCAGCAGCACCGAGCCTCTGTAAAGCATCTAATGGCATGAGGCTAGGGATGCCTGTGAGAAGGAAAGACACAGGCCCCGGCTTGGAAAATATTATTTAAAAAATAATAACCATCATCATGAGCCTTGCAAAATGTTCCATTTGAGATTGGGACATTTTTTCTCTTTGGGGGTGCTGTCTGCCCCTCCTTGGCTCCCCTTTCACTCCCATGGGCCCCCCAGTTGTGGGGCCTGCTGGACAAGGAAGTTCTCAGGACAGCTCTGGAAATGGAATGGGGTGAAGATGTTCTTGAATGACAGTGAGCAACCAAGGTGACTGACAGTCATCTCCAGAGGCCCCTTCTCTCCACTTTGATAGTGGAGGAGGGGTGTCAGGGTTTCCATCCAGGGCCAGCCTCCCCAGGGAGGGCCGATCCATATAGCTGCCCAGGCCCTGCGGTCAGAAGACCCTGCAGTCAGAACCCTCTGCCTTCGCTGCCTTCATGTTCTTTTTATATGGTATCCCACAATTTCATTTTGTACTAAGTCCTGTAAATTCTGTAGCCAGTCTTGGTTCTGACTCTTTCAGAAGAGGAAGGCCACAAGATGTTGGCCAGGTCTGAAAGCTCTTAATAGAAAGTGGCTCTCTCACATACAGAACCGGAGAAAATCTTTGCCACCTGCTCCTCAGAGTATTAAGCTCCAGGATATAGAAAGAACTCAAAAAACTTAACATCAAAAAACCAAATAACCTAATCAATAAATGGGCAAAGGAACTGAACAGGCACTTCATAGAAGAAGAAATACAAATGGTCAACACACATGAAAAATGTTCAACATCATTAGCAATTAGAGGAATGCAAATTAAAACCACACTGAGATCCATCTCACTTCAGTCAGCATAGCAAGTGTTGGCGAGGATGTGGGGGAAAAGGTACACTCATACATTACTGGTGGCACTGCAAGTTGGTGCAACCACTTCGAATGGAACCACCATTTGACCCAGTTATCCCATTCCTGTCTATACCCAAAGGACTTAAAATCAGCACACTATATTGACATGTCCACAACAATGGAACCAACCTAGATGTCCTTCAACAGATGAATGGATAAATAAAATGTGGTACATATACACAATGAAATATTACTCATTCACATAAGAAGAATGAAATAATGGTATTTGCCAGTAAATGGATGGAACTGGGGACTATCATGCCAAGTGAAATAAGCCAATCCTCCCAAAACCAAAAGCTGAATGTTCTCTCTGATATGTGGATGCTGACTCACGATAGGTGGGGGTTGGGGAGTAGAGGTTCAATGAATTGGACGGGAGAAATCAGGGAAAGAAAAGAGGGATGGGTATGGGAAAGACAGTAGAATGAATTGGA